ATATTAAAAACATAAAATTATTGAAATCAGAAATAAGATAAAGATTCCTTGTAGCAAGATAAACAAAATCTCTCAATAACATCGACAGTCGAAAATCACTCTACAGCATCCAAATCTTAAGATTTCCTTTCTCTCTTTGCTGAACCTCTAACAAATAAATCCAAAAGAAATCGAATAAAAAAATTTCTTGCTATACCTACACGAGCCATGCTTAAATCCTGCAAAAAAATACTGTCACCAACTGCAGTATGGCCGAATCCAGTCACCCATCCCTCTCATTGTCTGCTCGCGTTAATAAAAGGAAGACGAGGAATTGTTATTCGCCTCTTTCACGTATGCAAGCCCAGCTTCCACCTCCTACACGCGGCTTCTTCCTCTCGCAAGCCAATCGATGCCTTTACACTGTGTTGAAGCCACAAACCCCAAGCTAAAATCCACATTATCGTCGACCCTTCCTCTCGATTGACCTCTGCTTCTCCAGCTCTGAATCCTCAAGCGGACCACTCAAGCTTTGAGCTTCCTAACCCTGCACTCTTTTGAACTCCTCCTCCAATGCCGATTCACTCCTTGCCGCAAGCCCTCTTTCTCCTTGTTTTCACCCATGACCATCTAAAACCCCAGCCGAAGGCCTTCCTCCCGCCAATCTCCTATACCTAAAGCCTACATTCGCCTCTTCCAAGCAGCCAGAGACCGAACCGTGCCCTATCTGACTCACCCATCTCCTCACCAGCCCTCCTCGAACCCGATTCCAACCCACATATAAAAGCCCGCTTCCCTACTTCAAAAGCCCAACAACAAGGTATTAAGCAAATCTTAATATTTTCATGTTTTAATATTAGTGAGGTTATTATTGTTATTATCACTACTATATTATTATTAGTAAGTAAATAATTAATCATTATTATTATTTTGGGTATATATATAATAGAAAAAGGGAAAATCTTTTTTTTTTTTTGCATTTTATCATCGTCATTACCCCGTCGCCATCAGTATACGCATAGGTATAACATTATAAAACTCAAACCACCACACATAAACGTTTTTCTCAAGCATGATGAGAAGGGAAACTAGTGCAAAGCCTATGATGATGCGGGTAGGCTATTTAAAAGCTTTTATCTAGCGTGGTGGGATGAATATAAATACTCGTAGACAAGGGCGGAGCTAGGATTTTGTTCATGTGGGGGCACAAAATATTGAAGTAAAAAAAAAACCCTCAACCTTTTTCATCCGGGCTTGGAACAAGCATAGGCGGTTTTAATTTTTTTTTAACCATTAGATTCATTATAAAAATATAAAATATATAGTAAATCAAAAAACTTACAATTGAGAACACTAGTCTTAATATTTTTCTTATATGTTATCTATAATTTATCCCGTCGAGTCTTTATTTTTTGAAATCGTTGTACAATCAAGTCATTGTCAATACTACTAAAAATATCTTTTTCAATATAAGTAAACAATCATTCATCCAGGAGTCTCCCATACGATTGCGTAAATAGTTTTTTATAATTTTCATTGCAGGAAATGCTCGTTCAACTGTTGATGTAGCAATGGGCAATATCAGAGCAAGCTTTATAAGTAAGAACACCAAAGGAAATATATCATTCTTCCTAGTCTCTACTAATTTATGAGCAAGTTCTCCAAGTCCTTTTAAATTCATGAATGCATCATTCGATCTTATATCAACAATAAAATTTTCTATTTGATTGTATAGTATGATGAGATCCATTATATCAACTATAAAATCATTGTAATGAACTAGGGATTAGAATAAGCATAATCAAATGTTAAATTTTATAGTTGAGATTCATAAAAAAAATGTAGGATTGTAAGAGGCTCAAATAGGTTTTATAGATAATCCATAACTTCCCACTAAAATAAATCTCTTAAAAAATTTCATAAAAAAGTTAACAAGAGAAACAACTCTTATAAAATAAACAAGAAGCGGAATAGGGAAAGGCAAGGAACCTGGAGCGCAACAAATAGCAATAGAATCAAATCAGATTAGCACATGTCAACATAATTTTACATGTCTCAAATAACATTTGATGCAGTATGCAAACATAACAAACACGAAACAAAGTAAAACAACAGGAAATCTAAGCAGGAGAAACAATCACCGCTTGGGCTCTGGAGAGGCGATAAGAGTTTGTGTCGGACAGAGAATGCTATTTCAATTAATTGGCGGGCCACTTATATTTCCTCAAGAGAGCAATGCCAGCAAGAAATATAAGGGACACTTATATTTCCTTAAGAGTAGTGTGGCCGGCTAGTAATATTTGAGGGAATAAGTATGCAATTAATCCTCAAGAGAGCAACGCAGCAGGTAATATTTTAGCCAAATGTTTCAAATTAGTGGGGGGTGGTGCCCCCATGGCCCCCACACTATATCCGCCTATGCCCATAGATACCTCAATGCCTACATAGAAACAACTGTTCATTTTAAACTAGTACCCGAAATATCGTATATGTCTTTTCTCTAGTGTGGTAAAATTGAAGATTTATGATGACGGTGTCATCTGATACCTATCATACACGCTTTTCTTTAGTGTGGCGAGAGGCCCAAACTCCTATAATTTTCCCTAAAGGGGGGAGATGATGGGTGGTTATCAAATTTTTTAGTGATCAAGGGACCAAATTGAATAATTATAGGAGACTTATGAACATGATTTTCAACGAACTACAAGGAATATAAATTGAACAAATAATAGGGAACATGACAAAACCTACTAAATAGTGATCTGGATCTTAAAATGACAAATATACAATTATATTGATATCCTAAATGCTCAATGGTCATAATCACCGAAATGAAAGTTAATGGAAGAACAAGGAATTTATGGCAGACAAAGTAATTCAAACATAATTGGCTTATAAATCACAACACGAGATCTCTAATGAATGCTATAATGGTTATATCAATCAAAGTATAAATGTCAACTAGAAATAATGATTGTGTTATCACTCATATTAAGAATCATCAGGCAAAGCAAGGAATAACCAATAACATATACGACGAATCATCTAGATATCGACAATGAGAGTCATGTGATAAATATGATGATTTGCTAGCAATCATACATAATAAATGTGATGCGTCTACCAATGAAGTAAGAGAATTGTGAAGGAAATAGCTTCCTTATCATCGAGGCTGGTTAATTTGCAAATGAATACACAATAGCCTATCCACAAGCAATAATGGTTGGTGTAATCTATTTAAAGACAAATGTAGATGATATCTGCAGGCAAAAACAAGTAGTCACCAAACAAATATATGCCCACGAACCCTGCACTCATATAGTTGCTTGATCAGCCCCACCCTACCCGACCCGGCCCAGCCTTATCCAACCTACTTCTTGTGCCCTAGCATTGCCCGCCCACATGACAAGGGTGAGATTTGAACTCTACTATGTTTTAACTCCTCGCACCTAACTACTCCACTATAGTTCAAAATATATTTTATTTATTACTTTTTTATATTTAAACTAGAATTATACAAAAATATTAAATTAAAATAAAATATTAAAATAATAATTAAGTAAAATAAAATATTAAAATTAATAATTAATTAAAAGGAAATAATAAATTAATAATTAAATAAAATAAACAATTTAAATTACTAATACATTAAAATATAATTTTAAAATAAATAAAATTTAAATAATAAAAAATATTTAAAATAATTCCTCACAGAAAAGATGCCGAAAACAAATATGCTAAAAAAGCTGTTAGAAAAATAATCAGAAATATTTTATCGTATTTCGCCAGAAAACCACCGAAAATCTGTTAGTAATGAATGATTTTCTCATAGTGAGAGTAGATTCATTTGATAGAAGTCTTTAACATTGAAGGCTTGGCCATATGAGTATGAAATGTATGCATTCACTTCTTAGTAGAGAAAAGCTTCCTTATTTAAATTTTATAAATTTAGATTTTTGTAAATATTGTGTATATGACAAGCAACGTAGGTTGGGTTTTTTAAATACTGGTTCAAATGTCAAGTCAAAGAACCTAGAGTTACTGTATATTAATGTATAGGGTCCTGCTCTATAGGAGGATCATTATATTTTGTTACTTTTATTGATGATCACAGTAGAAATGTATAGGTGTACTTCTTAAAATAAAAGCCAAATGTGTTTGATCTTTTTAAAAAGTGGAGGGCTATGGTTAAGAATGAGACGGGATTGATGCTCAAGTGTCTTAAATTAGATAATGATGACGAGTATCGTGATAAGATGTTCAAGGAGTATTATGCTTTGAATGGAATCATACATGAGTTCACTGTCACAAGAACACTACAATAAAATAGTTTTATAGAGTGCATGAATAGAACTATCACTAAGCGTGCTAGGAGCATGAAGTTACATAATGGTCTACCTAAGCAGTTTTGGGCAAAGACAATGAATATTGTAGTTTATCTGATCAGTTGTGATCCTCCAGTTTCTTTGAATGAGGGGTTATTGAGAAAGCCTGAAGTGAAAAGAAGGTAAGTTTATCTCACCTCAAAGTTTTTTATTATTCATCCTATGTTCATGTTGATGCAGGACCTAAGAGTAAACTTGATGCAAAATTTATCAAATATACATTTATTAGATATGGCTAAGATGAATTTGATTATAAATTTTGGGATTATCTGAATAAAAAACATATATTTATTTGATATGCAAAATTTATAAAATATATTTTTTTCTTTATATGAAAATGTTACCACAACAACAAAAAAAGTACAAAACAGATTCGTCTAAGCAAGATAGTACTGTCATGTGCCCTCTAAAAATCAAATATAATATTAAAGTTTCATGAATTCGAAAATCATTAGCAAGCTGAGATCTTAGCCATTCGAGTGAACTTTTCTTGCAAACGGACCATCCAATGGATATAAAATCATAGACTAATCAAACCCCCCCACTCATTTGTTTAGTGGATTTATCCACCACACCTGCAATCCACACATCATAATCTTGCGAAATCCAATCAGCGTTACCAAAAGGGTAGAGAAATAGACGCAGGGAAACTTTATCTGTTAATAAAATAATTCCTCTGCACATTAAATGACGCACGATCTCGAATTTAAAGAAGCTACAAGTCAAATTAGATCCCTCAGGCTTTACATCTTCTGGGCGGTTTCAACCCTTCTTGACGTGAGCCTCCTGAATGGTACGAACCAAGCAAAGTGTGTGTGCTCTATTTACAAATCTTTAATATACCTATCGACCCCCTATAAACCGCTGACTTTGATGCTGCCGGCGCTGACCACCGCCGGCAGTAACTCTCTACTGACGACGTGATTGACTTTCTTTGCTATGAGCTGAACAGTCACAGGCTCAGCTGTAGCTTTGAGGCGAGTCTTGAGCTGATGGATACCTGGAACTAGCATCATCTCAGCCCATCCTTCCAGCCCATTGCATCGAACGAAAGAAATGATCTTGTCAAGCGCATCCTCCTCTATCCTAATCGAATGCTCATGGCAGATAATTTCTTTGAATTTTGATCTTATGAAATCTGTAACCTTTCTCTTTACCGAAGTGAAATCAATTGGCTGGAACAAAACCATCTCATCAACCAGCAAAGGTAGCTCGGTAGCCGCCCAAGATGGTAGTGAAGCTTTTGTTTCAGCCAGTTTTTTAATCCCCAGCCGTTTATTTTCCTTCTCCTGCTCGTGCTCCACCGTGAGATCGCTAGAATTGCCGGAACCTTCGGCCGGATCTTCATTCTCATCATCCTCAGTACCAATTGCTAGGTTCAAGTCAAGGGATAGACTTGGTGGTGGTGATTTCCTCGATCTCTTTATTGATCGTTCATCTTTGCCGAGCCAATCAGGTTGACGCTTACCTACGCTCTCCAGAATTGCAAACTCCAACAGCCATTCAGTTCTTGCAGACTCTAAAATCTTCTCTTCGTAATGAACAGGCGAGGGGTCATCAGTGAGGAGAATAAAGATGGTATTTTGCAAACTGATCTCCCGGCCATGGGAATCGAGAAGTCGGCCTCTCTTCATTGCGCTCTTAAGTGTGTTCTTATCAATAGTATTAGCACTGTTGATGCCCTCGATAACAATCACTGAGAAGGGGTTTCGAGAAAGAGCATCTGCAACTCGATCCATGGAAGTTTTCCCACGAAGAACTGTATCAGAGTTCGAGTAATTATTGTCAATAGGCGATGCTCCAAGTCGAACAGTGATTGGGGTTGTGACGAATATTAGCTCTGAGAGAGCTGCAGCCATCTTCAGCTTTCCAACTCTATCAGAACCATCAAAAAGCAACCATATTGCTCCCTTTGAACAAATGGATTTCAGCTTACGATGGCCAGATTTGCATTGAACTACAGCCGTGGCTATGGCTGAGGCTGCTTCAGTCTGCCATCCAACTCTTTCAGTAAGTCCATAGAAAAGCCGTTTGAAGGAGTCTACTTCTGAAATGCACGGATCAGGCTTATCCTGCTGGCAACAATCTGACTCCTTCACACGATCTTTGTGAAGTTTTACCACAGTGGTGGAGGAAGGCTTTGATTGACCGAGAATAAGATCAGTCTTCACCGGGCTATCAGGCGGGCTAGCTGCTCGTTTCAAATAGCTTATTTGCAGACTCAATTTTGGTGTTGGGGGCAATGATGGGGAAACTGATAAAGCTGTCGGTTTTCTGCTATCAATCGGAACAGCCGAGGAGTGTGGGTGGTGGAGCTCTGAGCAGCTCTCCTGCCATCTCTTTAGTAGTTCTACACTCCTTTGCTTCCATTTGATCTCTTGTTTTTTGGGCTGTAAGAAAGTTGGTATCAGATAATAAGATGTGGATATTGAGCAGATCCTTGCAGAACATCTATGAATAAAAAATGCTGACCTGGGAATGATCTTGTTCTTTTGCAATCCGCAGCCAAGAAGGCAGTGGGTTTCCTGATTTTTCCTTCGTCGCCGAAGATGATCTTTCAAACTCCATTGCAACAAGCTTCGCAAGCTCGCGCTCGTAGTCCTCCATGCAGAGAGAGCACAGGGAAGATTTTTGGGAGGAGTCGCTTCTGTCAAGAGATGGCGCAGATCTTCGAGGAGGAAAACTCCTCACGGGGGACAGAGTCTCCTTAGAAGTGGCAAGAATTCCATTAGCTCCAACCCTATAAATGCCAAATGTTAGCGTTTGGTCGCTCGAACAAAATGGAACTTCACGAATATCAAATCAATATGAAGAAGACTAAAAACAAAAAGTTAAATATGCGCTGAGGTTATTTCTAGGAATAACCGAACAAGAACTTGTTTGATTTATGGCGTTTTGGAAACAAACAAACAAACACACACACCGTGGGAACAAATGGGGAAGCGGTGATCTTGGGGCGATGGGAGCGGCTTGGAGATCCCAATTGTCTTCCACTACGGGATGGTAGACCTGGCATCGGAGATAGGTGGCGCAAGTCGCCAAGCCTACGAGCCAAATACGCTGGCTGCTGCCGTTGTTGAACCGATTTAAGAGGTTCGTCATCTCCACCACCGCCGACCGGACAGTCTCTGAGGCTACAATAGGCTGATGGTGCTGCGCCGAACCAGCTCCTTCAACCATGTATTTTAAATCCCCAAGGTCAAGCACAACGCTGACCTCTTCAGCCCTGCTTTCAATCGAGGCCCCCAATTCTCTAATCCTGGCAAGAATCCGTGACTGCTCAGCGAAATCCTTTTCCAAGGAAAAAACTTGCGCGCCGCGGAGCGACGCCGGGACGAGCGGGTCAGCTCCGGATTCAATCCGGCGGAGTACGTCTTTTAGAATCGGCCGGGGATCGGAATCGCCGACAAGAACAGGGTTGCGTCTTTGGCCGCGAGCCATGATTTCAAGCACGCGCTTGACCTCATCCGGACGGTCGTGAAACTGAGGATTGCTATACGGGTTTGTTCCGTTGGTCGACGAGGAATGGGAAGGCAAAAAGAATGCGATTTGGGAGATCGAGGTATTCGAAGGCGAGGAGAGGGATTGCTCGATGCTGGCCTTGACGGAAGGAGATGAGAAGGATGCCTCTCGCATGACGCGGCTAACAGACGGGTCGTCAAGGATTGAGAGGACGAGCTGGTCTAGCTCAACCTTAACGGCGAGGAGAGGCTGCTGCTGCTGCTCAGGGCAGCCGCGGCGCTGGTGGGCCTGCGCGCGCTTCAAAGCCGCCAACAGAGCGTTGGAGATGGGCGGCTCTGTAACGGAAGAAGAGGAGGACTCAGTGTTGCTCGGAAGAGAGGAAGGGAGGCGGTCGAGTGCGACGGAGAAGCATAGATCGAGTGCGCGGCATTGGAGGCGGTGGGAGGAGTGGGGGTGGGAGCGGACGCAGGCCTCACGGAGGATGCCGGAGGGGCAAGAAAGCAGGGAGGCTGCCACGTGTAGTGGAGTGGTTTGTCCATGTCGACGTCGCGCCGCTTCACCGATGGCCTGGCTGAGTAACGCCGCCGCCTCATCCGTCAGCGTCTGTTGGATCGTGCTCAACGCTGCCCTCATCTTGCTATACACTCCTTTTCTCTGCCTATCTATCTACCTTATTCGTTTCTCCTGAACAAGTACGGCTAGTAAAATCCAGGAAGAACAAAGATGCTCCAGAAGACGGAGATGAAGTCGTGCGTAGAAGAAAAGCCGGGTATTGGTGAACTAAGAAGCTTCTCAAGGGGATCTCTCTCCGGGCATCTCTCTTTGCGAGAGCAATTCCTCTCAAATTTTGATTCGGAGAGAGAGTATTTATATACTATTTTTATATTTTATATAAAGAAAAGGTTTTGTTTAGCGTTTTGATGATTTCATCAGAGATAAACTGTGATTAAATTGGATGACATAGTAAATAGTAATTATATTCAAATATTATATAATGTACGTAATAGTGATGTAATCATTTGAAAATATATAAATAACAAATTTGATAGAATAATAATATGAGGCATAAAAATATAAAATAAATAAATTAAGTAATTTTAAAATTAAATATATTTATTTTATAAGTAATTAATCTCTTCGTAATCATAAATGGAAAGATAAAATCAAAATTTCTTATGAGAGCTTATAGTTTCTTCCTCCAACCAATGAACTTCTAAAAATAAAATAAAAATAAGATAATTATTATACTTATACACTCAATATGGAATAAATAAGCAAAACACATTAATATATTTCACATGTAAATACCACAAATTATAGAAAGATTTTAGCATTTTAAAATATCAAATAACATAATAAATTCTTTCATGATATAGAGATAAAGTTAACAATGTTTATTTTTTTGGATGGTTTCTATAGTTCAAATAATTTCACAGGAGGAAAATTAGAAATATCCTAAATTTGCATCATGAAAACTATTCTCATAAGTTGAGTCTTCAAATCCTGATTCACAAAAATCTTTCATCTCAAATGCATCCAAATCATTGAATCCCATTATGTCATCTCCATTTTCTTTATTATTTAAACCACTTTCATCAACAAATAAAAATATAAAATAAGACTTCATTTTTTTTATTTTATCCAAATAATATTATATTTAATTATCAACTTACAATATCTTTGTCTAGTCAATGATATGTTTTGTTATTCAATAACTGACATTGCATCATCTTTATAAATCTTATTATCCAAGTCCTCTAAGTTAAGCTCTAGAGTTGGCTCACATCAATAACTCGGAAATAAATCACTTAATACAAGTATAGTCTTAATAAACATAACATCTAGGGGTGTCAATATTTGACATGACCCGAAAACTTGACTCAAACTTGACTCAAAAATTTCAGGTTCGGTCAACCCGAACCCGAAACGGGTCGGGTTCGGTTTAACATTTCGACCATTTTCAAAAATCAGGTCGGGTCGGGTTAACCCTTTGACCCGAAATTGATCCGAAAACTCGATTTGATCCATTTTTGACCCGAAAAGAGGAGATAGACCCGTTTTTGATCCAAAAATTAGAAATTTTGTTGTTGGAAATGGGTCATTCGAGTCGTTTTAGTTTGACCCGAAGCGGGTCGGGTTCGAGTTAGGAAAACTGACCCGTTTTCAAAAAACGGGTCGGGTTCGGGTTGACCTGAATAGTGCCGGGTCAATTTCGGGTTCGACCCGAACCTGACCCGAAATTAACACCCCTAATAACATCACAACCCAACCCAATATAACATGTAAGCATAATGGGTTAGTTATTATTAGGCTATTGTATTGAATAGAGTAGTGCTAACATATACCATACATTAAATAAATTATGTAATAAAAATAAATAAACAAGTACTTCATATTTGTCGGACATTCACCGGACTTCTACCTGATGTTGAATTTCTACCCGTTAACAGTCCTTTCAACATACCTCCTTACAATGATCTCTCTGACCTCCATCACCAACCGACTACAGATGTGAATCTCTCTTAATTGTGGAATTTCTCGAAGAAAAATGGTCACTCGACATGCCCTCTAAATAGGGAGGGGCGCCCCTACAGTTGGATAAGGGATGCCACATATCCAAAAGTAGGGGAAAACCTCCCATATAGGAAGAGGACCGAAGGCGAGAAGGGCGGAAGGGAGAAACCTCCTTCTTATGGAGAGGGGCCCCGGGGTTGGACAAGGGATGCCGCCTGTACAGATCCCGGGTGAAGGCCTCAGATGAAAGAAGAAGAAGGGGGAGAAATCACCTTCTTGCAAAGGGGCCCTGGGCCTGGACAGAGGATGCCGCCTGTGTAGGGTTTTCATACCCCCAAGGGGGGTATTTATAGGAGTGTGAGAGAGAAGTTGGAGAAGTTAGGGTGGTTATGAAAAAAAAAAAAATTGGGGCACGTGCATTGTATCAAATTGTTATTGTAGCAAGCAGATACATACAGAAGTGGAAAATTAAAAAAGAAAATTTTATTTTATAGAAATTACTGTAGCGGTAACTACAGCAACACACAAGCTATTAATGTAGAGAACATTTACAGTAGATGGCGGTACTGTTGCAAACAGTCACTGTAGATGATGATTATTATAGCAGATATTTCGGGCTCGAATTTCATGTGGACATTCCAAATTGAACATTTTTGGGGTCCCCAAAAAGGTTTTTCAGCATTTTGGATCCAATTTTTATACTTTCGAAACTCAACGGGGCCTTTATGATCGAGTTTGATTAAATTTATTTTTTTTGGAAAGGAATTTTCTTACATTTTTTGCAATTCAATCAATTGTAAGTGTTGTAATATATATTTTCGGACTCTATAAGTATTGAAGTCCAAAAATAAGAGGACAACTGAAATATCATTAAAAACTTATCTTGATCGGGCACAAATCTCGAGGCAAAATCAAGTTGAAAACGTTCAAAATTAAAATTGGAACCATCCGAACTCTGATTTTAGCAAACTTACCGATGAACTCAGTGTCTCCAGAATACAAATCCAAAAAATCCAACCCAATCCGAGCCCAAACGGGTCCATATCAAGGGTTAGAAGCGCTGTTGGAAGGTTCAAACAACAATTTGGATTACCAAATGATTTTCAAACATAACGTGTTTATAGTCGAATCGGGCGCCTCGACGAGACAAATTCAATGAGCCCAAGATCACTGAATTCCGACATCTTTAAGACTTTTAAATGTCCATTAAATGGTCCATAATTAAGGGATTCAATATCGACCGTCCATCCAACTACTCCCCATTTACCCTTGATCTCTCACCTATTTATGGGCCCTGCCACTCCAAAAATATATAAATAAACTCCTCATTTCTCTTGAAAGGAGACCCAAATAAGAAGATAAGAAGAGAAGAAGAGAAGAGAAGAAAGAGAAGGAAGAAGCTCCTCCTCGACCACCGTCTAACTTCAGCCGGACCACCACCTAACGTCATTGCTCCGCCGGACCACCACCTGAGGCCCTCACCTTTGCCAGGCCCCCACCCGAGGTCCTTGCCCCTACCGGAGCACCACTAGAGGCCCTCACCTCCGACGAAACACCGTATGACGTCGTTGCTCCGTCGGATCACCACGTGAGGCCCTGAGCTTTGCTAGACCACCACTTGAGGCCCTAAGCTTCTCCGAACCACCACTTGAGGCCCTGGGTTCTACCGGACAACGACATGAGGCCCAAACTTCTATCGAACCACCACCTGAGGCCCTAACTTCTACTGGACCACTACTTGAGGCCCAGACTTTTTCCAGAACACTACCTGAGGCTCAGACTTCTGCCGGACCACCATCTGACGCCCGAACCTCTGCCGGACCATCATTTGATGCCTTGAGCTTTACCAAGATACCACCCGAAGTTCGAACTTCTACCAGACCACCACTTGAGGCCCGAAACCTGAGATTCAGACTTCTACCGGGCCACCACTTGACGTCCAGAGTTCTCCTAGAGTACTGCCCTTATACTACGGTCTTTTAGGCCCCTGTCTCCTGTCGACTATGGTCCTTCCAACCTCCATCACCAGACAACGGTCATTTTGACCTCGGTCTCCTGCCAACTATGATCTTTTGGACCCCTATGTCGTGCCAACTATGGCCATTCCAACAAAAAAAAAAACATGTCTAGATTGATTATTGTAACTCCCACCATGTAATGCGTTCTTTATGACGTACATTTGTGACATCAAGCCAAGACCTTCTCCCAAGGAAAGACCTAATTTGTAATCGACCTCAAATACTAGTAGATTCATTCAAACTGGGCCAGACCCCATGGTTTTCCCCCTTTTCAGGGGTTTCCACGTAAAAACTCTGTTGTCTCTAATGAACGCTACACTCTCTCTCTTATCTGATTGCGTGCTGGATCTTTGTGCAATACTAAGGCGTTAAACTTCATTTTTCTTTACCGCCGCTAATATTCCAGGACGCAACAAGCTTAAAATAGAATGCTGAATATATATGAGCCAAGACAACTTAACAGATCACACCCACAAATCTAAATTCTTATTAAGTAACCCATTATGCGTATACTAAACTAAAATCAGGTATCAACAAATTATTATATTGAACATAATAGTGCTAACATATAACAAAAAATAAATAAACACTATTTATTGTAATTGTATTTTATATGAGAAGTTAGCTTTCATGATAAATAATTGGAGTCTAAATTTTTTTCTTAATTTTTTTCCCTAAAATAAGTATAAGAAGTATCTTTCATGTGTTATGGAGAGTTCGAGGAACAGTAGGCTGGGAAGTATCAGTAGAATACGGCCGCTGCCGCCGGCCGGCCGGCCGGCTGTTATTTTAAAATTTATTTGTTTAATGCTGCTGATTTTGACCGGAGTCCATTTCCTATTCGCCTTTTTTATATATTATAAAATTCTTTATAATTTATTTACTTACTTTAGCTGCGAGGATAGGAGAAACGAAAAACGATTGGCTGAAAATGAAATCATTAGCGCTTTCTTCTCCGTTTGGCTCTCTAAAAATTGGCTTTTTTCACGCAACTTTTTGCTGCGGAGCAGAAGTGCTACAACACGGATTTGGCCTAAGCTCCGTTCGGCCTTCTCCCTCTTTTTTAACAAATTTTCATGTGTTTTTTTAATTGTTTGTGGCTCCACGTCTTTTAATGTTCAAAAGAGAAAGTCTACTTTGCCTTTGGCGCAATAAAAAGTGTGAAAAAAAAAAATTCAAAAAGTAATGACAGAATATTCTCCTGTTTGATTTTGAATATTTGGTTTAAAGCAAGGTAGGTATAACATAAAATATTTATATGAATTTTTAAAATAAGTTCCATAAGTAGCATCACAA